GATAAAAAACTGTCGGAACTACTCTTAGACCTGCTTAAAAGGTTAAGACTTATAAGACTTATACATTTAATATAGATTTTACATTATAAGGAAAATGACAAACTATTCTCAGAACTGCCTAAAAGGTAGAGACTCGTAATATACATTTTATGCTATAAAGGAAATGGCAAAACTACTCTCAGACCTGCCTAAAAGGAAAAGACCTGTAATATATCTTATACATGGCAGTAAAATGACACAACTGGCCTCACAATAGGCTATACGTTATGCATTATAAAGAAAAAAACAAAAGCAGTCTCTGACCTGCCTAAAAGGCAAAGGTTCATAATGTACCTATACTTTGTAAGGAAAATGACAAAACTAGTCTCAGACCTCCCTAAAGCAAAGACATGTAATATACCTTAAACATTATAGTGAAAATGATACAACTGGTCTTAGACTAGCCTAAAATGCAAGGACTAACAATAGGCTATATGTTATGCTTTATAAGGAAAATGACAAAACTAGTCTCTGACCTGCCTAAAAGGCAAAAACTCATAATGTACCTTATACATTGTAAGAAAAAGGACAAAACTAGTCTCAGACCTGTCTAAAAGGCAAGGACTTGTAATATGTCTTATACATTAAAAAGAAAATGAAAAAAGGAGTCTCTATTTTTGGACATGCTTAAAAGGAAGGACTAACTATTACTATTAGCAGCTAATCTTTTAAAAAAAATTATATAGATTTGATATTAAGATTTGAAAACATGACATGATGATGAATTAATCAAAGTATGTTGTAGATCAGCAGACATGCTTAAACTCAGAAACAGAAGAACATCTGTTTCTTACTCTGATTAAAACAGAAAGTCATTTCTAGAGTGGATATACCGATTTTATTTTGGGTAGCTAAGGTGCTGAACCTGTTTGGTCACACTGGTGTGTTCCTTTGAAGAGCAACCAGTACCAGCAATGTCATTGTTCTACCATTACAGACTACCAGCCATGCAGCCTGATATCATCACAGAGAGACAGATACTGTAAGTGCAGTGTAGTTTGTTTATAGGTTTATGAGATTAACAGCTGTATGAGGGTCTGTTCAGCTGCTGGTCTACCTTGCAGAACTCTGCCTGCATACCGACTGTCATTGCTGACAGACTAATAGTCATTGTTTAGTCTTTTTGTATCTTCACATTTGTTAATTTGTCAAATGAAAGATTTTTGTGAAGTGGATGGGTTTCAGCTTTAGTTACTGTAGACTTTAGGCATAGAGCTACATTTGAGAACAATCATTGAACAGTTCAAACCTTAGAAGTCAAAGAGTTAAGATTTACTTTTTGTTTAATTTAATATTTAATTACATAAAGATACACAATAAATGACATTTACATGAAATTGTCATTATGTATTGACAGCTATGAGTTTATAACTCCAACCTTCTCCCTTTTGTTTCGATGTCGAACAGTAACAAAAACGCGATGAAAATGTAAAAGATTTTTTAAGAAGCCAGCAGTGTAACTTGGATCTTATGGGCCGCAGTACAAAACACTGAATAGGACCTATGTACAAAAATAACAGTGTAATTTGCTTATTTGCTCTATATCACAACAAAGTTGGTGCTCTAATGTACTTAATGGTTGTAGTGTATCATTAATTTATCAGTACAATCCATGAGGGGCCCAATAAAGAGATTGGGGACTTGGTCCTATAGGACCCTTGTGCTGGGAGCCCCAGTACTATTGCCCCAACTGCTATGCCAGTAGTTGAACCACTGCTAAATGCACAAAAATAACTTCTCATCAGATTCAAATAATAATAAAATATCTCCTCTTTTACTTACAAACAAAAATGTGGCTTTGGTTAAAGTTTAGAATCCACACCTAAACTTTGACGGTGAAACAATTAGATGGAATACCATGCTTTTCATACTGCTGGCGAATACTGTAACTTCTATGGGTGAGACATATTAGCTGGTGCAACACTACAAATTAAGCCTTAATCTACATCTATAGAAACCAGACTGCCATTGGATGCCTATACCTAAACCATACCGAACGTCCTAATAAAATAAATAAAAAATGTGAAATTGGACAGTATATGGTGTTTTTTTTTGTTTTTGTTCCTGATGTTAACGCATCTTTGGCAAGCTGGACTAAATTCACCATGTGTTTCCAATGTAACAGCATTTCTGTTGCTTACCCAATAAGGGATGATCTTCCTAAGCCGTCTCAATGTCCAAAGCACATGGATTTTGGAATAACATCTTTGAAAGTTAGTTGATATTGAGATATTCTGTCTGCCTTACACTGTCCGAACATGTGTTGTGCATTTAATTCAGAAGAAGAGAACTTGTCACAATGACGTCAGTTGTTTCTCTCTGTGAATCATCATTAGTTGGAGCTCGTCTCTGTTTGATGCTTCCCTGGCTCCAACCCTGCACTGGCTCTGGCGCTGTACGGAGCAGTCGTCAAGTGCTCTCTTTCGGTCAGGACTGATGTGAATCTGTCAGTACCTCTCAGCACCGAGGAGCATCAAATGGTCAAGACGTGTCATTACATTAGCGCGCATGAGAGCATGAAACCGATCCCAGTACAAAGCTCATTCTGTAGAGGAGCGTAAGGAAGAAGTCTCATGTGATTTTAATTGATTTGGGGCTTGTAAATACAACTGATTTAGTGTTCTAGAATTAAAATATGTTTTTTTTTCAGGCATATTAAACTGTTTAACTCAATCTGCGTTCACTTTAGGGACTTTTTAGCAGATGTCACTGAGCACTGATACAGCAAATCTGTTTCAGTTCAGATTCAGAGCTCTATCACTTCTATGGACAGAAGATTTGATACCGAATTTTGATTTCTTGTCATGCGTCCCAGATGCATTCATTGCTGGCTAAGGCTGCAGCTCGAAAATTAAAGGCAGATTTCTGAATATGTAGTACTTTATCGAAGAGCACATGCTCAAAGTTCAAACTGAGAGGCTTAAGGACATTTTGGAATGTTTAAATTGGATCAAACATAAATATTGGGTAGTATTGCTTAAGTGTTTTTATTTATTCTTTGCACGCCTCCCACCCTTACTTTAGGCCAGAGGCCTGAAAGCATGTGTGAGACATTAGCACAGATTAGAGTATCAACTGTAGTATCATGGCAGTCCACAGAGACACGTGTTTTGGAAAGCAATCTGAGCTCATCATTGCATTCTGTGGTTTCCGTTCACTCGTTCTTGGAGTCGTAGCTTGATTATCTTGGTTCGGCTGATGCTAACTAACATCAGTGTTCAGTAAGTCTAAACAGGAGATTTGAAGAAACAAACATAGCTGAATAAAACAAACTGGAATACCTATACAAACACCACACTGTCAGAAGGTCCAAAAGCAGATGCTTTCAAGGAATCCAAATAAAAGATACATGTTTTATTTTGAGGTAATGACAGTGCTTCTATTGTCAGGTGGCTGAAAATATTACTAGCAGTTGGAGAGAAAAATGCGACGCTGGTTTTTGGGGCTGTTCTCCACAGTTGGCTATAAAAACGGGTCTGTGTTTCACAGCAACACCACACATGCTCTGTTAAACTGGTTAGTGTCTCGGGCAGTTTTACCCCAAGTGTCTAGCTGTCTCATAAAAATATGCTTGGCGACAGTGAAGTAAGTGATGACTGTGATCGAAGACTCGGGATTAGATTTATTTGACTGAAAGTTGGAGTTCGGAGGTTGAAAGGATTTCCATATAATGTCTGGTTAGCATTAGCAGTTTTTCCCCACGTTACTCGGAAGCCCTGACGCTTGTTTAACTTTGCTAGTGAGAAAGCACATTGATGTTTGCTCATTGTCTCTATTTTCAACTTAAGGCAAGAACTATTCCCAATTATATTTTGGAAATGTCTGATCATTTTAAATCATCTGCCTTGTAGTAAATGGATCCTCTGTCTGTAAAATGTTCATTTTTACAACATAGAATTAATATTCACCGTATTGTTATCCATATAATTAAAAATACTACTGCAGTAGGACAGGTAACAACTTTGTTGGAACATGAAGCACAATTCACTGTTTTATGCAGAAAATGATTAAACATTTCTGCATAATTTATTCATAATGATGTAAACATGTCATTCAGGGTGGATTGATGTGAAACACTATGTTCTACAGAAACCTGAGAGTCGGAATTGTGCACAGTGGTATTGATAGAAACCAGACATCCACCTCTAAAAGCTCCCTTGCAGAAAGTTATTAAATGAAATGGTTACAAATATGTTGCCTGATGCCTGAGACATTGTTTTATGATAGTTTGGAGAGGGTTTTGGCTTAAAACATTTTTTTAAAAGCCAATCTTTGTGAAGAGGCACTTTGGGCGTTGTAAGTCAAAGAAAACTTTTTTTTTGGGGGATTTTCCACTTTTTTACCAACATCCACATTACATATAAAACTCAGATGACACGGTCCACTGGTTGTTTTTTATAGAAAATAAAATGGCTGAGTTGTAGACATTATGACCTCTGGTTTCTATCACTGCTGTAAAGATATCAGCATCATTAAATTTTTCTACAATGAACCATTTCTCATCAAACCACTCTGAATTACTTTGCTGACATCTTAGCTACTGAATTCTGGAGAAATTTTGAAAAAAATCAGTGGAATTCCCCTTCAGGTAAAGATAAACAGAGATGGCACAGATTGATTACTGGGTATCAGTATGAGGGCAACATCAGCAGAAAATGCTGCATCAGATATCAAAAGGGAAAAAAAAGATGAGTTGGATCCAATCCTGTAACAAATCTGTCCCGAAATAGCGCCCGCTCACATTGTGTGATGTGCTGCCGTTGGCTGTGTTTATCCTTGTGGGTCAGTAGAGTGTTCGTGCTTCAGTGGTATCGTGCCATCTCTAAAGACCAGTAAAGAGGATTTGAGAAATATTTTAAGTGGTGCAGTTTTATTGAGCCAACTGAAATATATTAGATGTGCTTATCACACTCACGATTACAGTGAAGGATTAACGTCTCTCTCTCTCTTTTTGTGTGCAGATGTACCCCTGCAGCAGTGATAAAGAGTGTTCGGTCGGTAGTTACTGTCACAGCCCTCAGCATGCTCCCTCACGCTGCCTCACCTGCCGTCGGAGGAAGAAGCGTTGCCACAGAGATGCCATGTGCTGCCCTGGCAACCGGTGCAGCAACTGTATGTGTTCAGTTGTTTTGCATAACAGCATCCTCATAATTTTTGATTATTATGTTATGTTATGATTATCATGATAATTATGTTACTATATGCTTTTCTGGGTTTGTCACTGCAGTGGTAGGACACTGAACAACTGTATGCATCATAAAAATAGAGACTGCATACACTGTATAATAACTACCTGATTGGATGTTACTACATTATGCCATTAAGTTTTTTCCCCCTGTTTATTTGTTTAGTTACTTAAAAAATCATTGTACTCAGTTTTTCATGATGTTTTTCAAATGTGGAACTACTATTTTGCTACTATGGACCTTTTCAGGCACATAAAGGTGCATTTAGGAACCTTTTACCTTGTTCACAAGCCTCAGAAAAGCTAAATATTGTGATACATGTTTACCATGAAAATGTCTTCAGTAATTCTGCCATATCGCCCAGTCTTATTTCTGATGAATGTATTCCAGCAAGCCTTTGACATATTATCCAAAAACTGATGCCAAATTTCTCTCCCCTGCTTTAGATATCTGCATCCCATTCTCCGAGAGCCTTCTGTCGCCACACATCTCGCCCTTAGAGGAGCACAACAAACTCTCAAGCAAAGACAAGGGCTGGAAGAGGAGTGGGAAAGCCCAAGCCAAGCTCTCCCTCAAAGGTGGGGAATTCACGCCAGCCTTGTAAATCTCAACAAAGATCTTATGGAAAAAGCCATGTCTCCACCAGACTGCATGGGGTTTGAAACTTTGGCAGTTTGGAGAGGTTCTCCTGTTTCTGTGCATTTACCTCTGTTATCTCCAGTGGCCCTGCCACAGGTTGTTATTTGTGTGGAGGAAAGGAACGCCAAGCCACATAATTACATACTGCTCATAGATCAACCTATGATTTTTCAGCATGGTATGGAGCGTGTGCAGAGTCAACCATAATGCACTGCTCTTCCCGCTTCTATATAAACCTGGCGTACTCGTAGGGATGGTGACAGCATAACCCCATTCAATCATAAACTAAATCACAGGACATTAAACTCGTCTGAGGCATTTAAAAGGACTCTAAAAGTCCTGCCATGTCTGTCATTAAGCTCAAATCATGTAATTACACTTGCTCTTAACATGGGCTATAAAATTGACGTCTGACTGAGATGTATTATTTAAAATCTTCCATTTGAGTACTTAAATTGAAATGATTATCAATAATACTCATAGCCTACCACTAGGCAATCAGAAACCACTCCACATATTATTAAGGCATGTTAAATGGATGGTTTTCTTGTTCTGGAAAAGGACATGGTTCTTGTTTGTCGTTTCTTAACATGTCGCTTATACAGATATGCCCCAGCTGTGAATGCAGAGATTAGAAGCCATATGACCCTTTACCTGCTGGACACTGCTGCTTAGAGCTTTAGCCAGGAAGGCCTCTCAGGAAACTGCGGTTTTGTTCAGGGACTCGTTGAGGCTGGATTGTGTGTTTAAAAGCCTTTGGCAGGGGAAGTGCGCATGCCAAATTATTGCACAGAAATCTCACAGTTAGATGTATTATAAATATTTGCTATACTAATTATCCCTTTGAAAGACTAATATAAACCGCCTGACAAGTGTAGAGAGTTTCCCTCAACTGAATCGAATTGGTTAATAAATCAGGAAATCGTTTGCTCGGATTCTTTGGGGCCCTGTATCTCTCCCTTTATGTGCAAACCTCGTAATGCAATTTTAAATCCAATATAACAGCAAGAGCTCTGGATGTGTTTGAAGCCAAAACAATGTAACGGTTTGATTTTTCTTCTCTTCCCTTTGGAGAGTTAGAATTTACAGTACTTCCCTCGAAGAGCTGCTTGATTGCACACAGTACAGTCATTATGCTAACATACTGATGAAATTACTTAAGATAATCTAATAATTTGGTAAATTTGGGGCATGCCATGTAATACTCAAGCTAAATTATATTATCTGTGGAAAAGGGCAGTATTAAAAGATATTGACAAAGTTTTCTTAATACTGAAGATCAAGATCATTTAAAGAATTCCACCTTATGCTGTGTTTAGTTGTCGTTTTATCAGGAACACCTACTATATAAGTGCACTTTGTAGGTTTATAGTTACTGACTGTAGCCCAGTGAGCAACTGTAAACCTAAAAAATGTGCTTATAGTTGTATGCAAAAGTTTGGGTGCCCCCAGTCAAATTACAGAGAACACACTTCTGCACATTTTAATGCATAATCACTGTTTATATGATGAATTTAACATACTAGAAAAAATAAAACATAAATATGGCCTGTGCAAAAGTTATTGCACATTTTATATTTTATATTTTCTAATATGACAGCCTCTACTAAATAAGAGTAGCATGGATTTCCATACTCGATCATTTTATACTTATTTCAAACTTTGCTTTTTCAAACAATTAAATACGTATCCTATATCAATAAAGGCACTTAAGAAGTTTCAATCAGGTCTTCGTTCTTACCATAGTACTGTGACAGCATTGGTTCATGTTGTGAATGACCTCAGGCTTGGGGTTGATGCACAGAATCCTTCCAGTTTGGTCTTATTGGATGTAAATGCAGCTTTTGATAACGTTGATCTCAAGATTCTAATCTACCATCTGGAATACTGGATCTGCCTCTCAGGCAGTTTTAGAATGGTTTAAATAATATTCGATGAATAGACGGTTCTTGGTTTCACTGGGAGATCATTCAGTAAAAAATATTTAACACTTCTTGTGGAGTCCTACAGGGTTTGGTTTAGGGCCTTTGCTTTTCTCTTTGTACATATTACTTCTAGGTGATGTCATTAAGAAACATGATATCAGTTTTCATAGCTATGCTGATGACACGCAATTATACATTTCCGTTCTTTCTGAAAATCAAGACTCTGTTGAAAGGCTTACCAGCTGTGTGTCAGATGTTTCTCAGTGGATGTTACAAAATTTTCTACAAATAAATCAAGAAAAAATCGAATTCTGATCCATGGGACTAAAACTCGGAAAAAAGATGCTTTATGAGAAGCTAGACTCTTTACTTTTGTCATTTGAAAAATATTGCTGTATATAATATAGAGTTCTTATTAGCTGAACTGCATTGACTGTCTTTATCTTTTAGGATAGATATTATAGTTCTGCTACTAGTATTTAAGGCTCTAAGTCACTTATAAAATCAACAAAACATGCAAACTGCAGAGCGTTCAGATTTTTGCATATAACTGTGTATGGTAGGTATTCCGGATAAAATTGTCAGTAAGTGTAGATACAAGGTAGGTGTTCGTAATAAACATTGATTCAGTGATAAAGATAAAGTATTTAACGGATTTCCCTCCGCTTTCTTCCTTGTAGGCCATGATGGTGACGCATGCCTGCGTTCCTCGGACTGTTCGGAGGGCTACTGCTGCGCCCGTCACTTCTGGACCAAGATCTGTAAGCCCGTGCTGCGTCAGGGTGAGGTGTGCACCAAGCAGCGTAAGAAAGGCTCTCACGGTTTGGAGATCTTCCAGCGCTGTGACTGCGCCAAAGGCCTGGCCTGCAAGGTGTGGAAGGATGCCACCTCGTACTCCAGATCCAGACTGCATGTGTGTCAGAGAATCTGAGGGCGGTGCAGGTGAGGGCCCAGCAGGCGAGCTGCACCGTGGGGCCCATCCTTTCTGCCTGAGGGCGGAACGGAGAGGACTGCTTTTTTTCCAGGACTCAGCCATCTGTGATGAAGGGAGGCATGGAAGGGAGAGAGAGAGTTAGAGAGAGTGAGAGAGAGAGAGAATAACCCAGTATGTGTGTGTATGTGTGTAGTTTGGGACAAACGATTGAGATTCGTGATCTGACGCTGCCTTGGATAGTACATACCCAGCCTCTTTTCAGCAGCTTTTTTGCTGCACGTTTTAAAAACTGTATTGATTTGAAAGCCATAGCCTTTCACCAGCAATAGATGGAGGTTCTGAAGCAATTCCACTCTCTCTATGCATTTAGGTTTATGTATAATACATGTCAAACAAGACTGTGTTTACCTGTTATCTAGTGATTTGAAATGCACATGGTTCAGCATAACTCACTTATCAATCAGAAATAACCACTATATTTCATGAAAACAGTATCTAACTGTTCTGTAACACTTGTAGTATATAACCATATATTCATTTCTGCTAGATCTACATTGCTCATACCTGCCCAGAGCAAAGCACTCTAATTTGTGTTGTTGTATGCAAATGTTTGGGCACCTCTGGTCAAATAACATGTTTTGTTAAAGTTTTTTAAGTGACAATAAGTTACACGTTCTCTACAGAGAAGAAACTTCTGCACATTCTAATGCACAATTACTGTTTATTTGCTAAGTTTAACATATTGGGAGAAATTAAACATAAAATGTGGCCTGTGCAAATGTAATGGCACATTGTATATTTTATGTTTTATTTTTTTCTAATATGTTAAACTTAGCGAACAAACAGAAACTATGCACTGAAATTTGCAGAAAATGGCTAAACTCAGATGCCTCAGACAGGTTTCAAGTAGGAGGAAAGTTCAATTACAATCTCCAAAATATCAAGCAAGAAATCAGAAGATTTCGATAGGACCAAAGAGATAACTAAGCCAAAATAATGCAAAAAAAAATCATGATGACAAACACATGAATGCAGAAACATAAAGAAGAAAAGATGTCAAGAGAGAATATGTTTGTCATCTGAACAAACTATCCTCTAAACACCACATGCCACTACAGTCAAAACTCATGAAAAATTGTATCCATTTTTATTTTAACTTATTTTTACTTATAAAGTCAACAAAAATGTAATTTGAACAGGGGTGTTCAAACTTTTGCATATGACTGCAGTTATTCTCATCACTATCTGTTGTGCAAAGCTGTGTGGGTGAATCTGTGAAGGGCATCGTGCTCCAGCAGTTTGCTTTAGTGATCTAGAACCGTGGCAGAGCTGCAACATTGAAGTTCTAACCGTGATTTTGGGTAGAACGAAATGTGCAGATTTAAGATTTGGTAAGATATGAATCAGAGTGGTCTAGAATGCTTGTGTTTTTTTTCATTGGTGTTGAACTCCATTAATTACTTCCCACACTGCGGCGAGTAGGTGCTCACTGATTTACATGTTGCTTATTTGCATGCGGCAGGATTTCTTCTTCTTAGGAGCGTACATTAACCAGTTACAATGAAGAGAGCATAAAAATAGACCCATGCCATCACGTGAGTGCTTATAGATCCATTCAAATATCACTATATGAGATGAAGGCCTAGAGCACAGTACTTCACCCCATAACTCTAGACCCACAAGGGCGGAATGGGTTTTGCAGTTGGCAGCCTTTGGGATCACTGGGTGGCTTAAACTGGCTTACATTCTGAAGTTACACATTTCTGGAGAAAAGCTTTTCATTCATAGTTCAGATTCACACAGAACAGTTTGCTAATTTGTTACTTTGTCTATGAAATGACTTTTTTTTTTAATCTGATTATTAGGGGGAATTGTTTACAGTTTAAGAAGGCATTTGTTTATGGGTCATCTAAAACATTCTGTAGATATTGTTTCACACACACCAAAGTCTCATGATTGTGACATTTAGATCGAATAACTATAACCGATAATAGACGATAAAATACAAAGTGTGCCTCTGTTTTGTGAATTTGTATTTTCCTACGAGTTCTATCAGTTAACAAACAACTAATAAGCTCTTATTGTAAATAACATGGAGACAATGAAATGAAATGTATTTAAAAACAAGTGTATATCATGTACATATGATAATGGGAGGCTGTAAGTCAGGCATGGCACTTTGACATGCAGGCATTGCAATCTGCAGGAGTTGTAGCAGCGACAGGTAAAGCTGAGGGCTTTTGTACCTGAGTGCTTGCATGCATTTGAGAGAAGAAAGCATAGTTTACATCTTCAATTTTTTTCAGCCCAACTGTATTTTTTGCTGCATATACAGGATATTAAGATCTTCACAGAGAATTATTACAATTAAATTATTTTCAAAATTCCTTTAAAAGTTTAGTTCAGATTTCTTTTAATGAGCCCACATTGTGCACTTGTTTTCTGGATTTGTGCCTGCCTTAAAGAAATATGTTGGACTATGCTGTTATTTGTTTCCCAGTGTATATTTACAATGTTAAAATGATTAAAGAATGTATTTTGTATTACAAGGCTGTTTTGTAACTGCATGTGAATATCCAAAAAGGACAGACTGTCTTTAATATATAAAAGTATTGCATTCAAAGGTAAAGTTTCATGTACTCGAGTGAAATCGATCACTTTGAAAAGCTCATTTAAAAGCTTTAGAGGTGGTAAAATAAGGCAGAGAAGCATTAGTGAATACAACAAAGTTTTATTACACACTTCAATGACCTAAGAATAGCTCAGCTATATTGCATGTAAGTCCCTGTAGATACTGAATTATAAGGCTCAGTGTGTATAAGCCTGAGATTTTAAGGGGTTAATCTCTACTTTTCTAATCATAAGATTTCAGAAATAATCAATACTCTACATTACTGAAACTATATAACTGAAATGACAGGTAAGCTGGAAAAAAAATTAAAGGCCTTTTCATTATGACTTAGGACTTTTTCTTATTAAACAATATATGTAATCTAAACGTTATACAAAAACGAAAACTTCTACATTGTCAAGGCCGTCGCTGGAGGGGTTAAAAGTGATGATGGTTCTAAGGGCCAAAAGCCGAAAATGTATAAATGCATGCTCTAAGTCTAATCTCACACATCTGATCCAGTTAATAAAGGCCTTCAGGAGCATCTGAGCATTAGAACCAGCTGTGTTGGACTTAACGTTGCATTCATGACAACTGGGAACTCGGAATTTTCCAACTTCCCACCTCAAAACATTCACACAACTTCCAACTGTTGGAGGCTGGAAAAACAAAGACGCTCACAATGAGCTAACCTTTGTATGGCTGTTGTAGGTATATGAAAGGCTCCTTCTTAAATCTGGTTCTTGTAAATCTGAGTTTAATTAAAATAATGTATTGCTAAACACAGGAAGAAGGAGAGAAAGAAGCTGAGGGAGACTGAGCGCACGGACAGGCAGATCTGATGGAGGTTAGTTATCAAGAAGAAAGCAAGAGACAGTTGTTTAGGCTTTTAGTTCAAATTAATACAGAACTAATTTTTTATGATCAACAGTTTTTATTGATTTTTATCTTAGATTAATACAAAACCACATATATTTGTATTATTGCAACAACATGACAACTTTTACTCTCCCCTTCCCACCCAGTGTCGGTACTTCATTCTTGACCTGACCTAATCCAGTGCAGTACAAGGTTCTGTATCATAAAAACAAATAAACAAACAAGCAAACAAACAAAAAAACAAACTCCAGTAAATGTTTCAGCATATAGATAACTAAAGATACAGAAGTCTTCAAAAAATACAATAAAATAAAATAAAACAACTAAAAAGACAACAACAAAGGGGGTCACACCATGGAACTCATCGTTAAGAACTCTCTATAAGTCTTAAATATTTGTCCCATTTACGTCTGTACACTTCAAAACGCTTGAACAATTTAAATGATAATTTTCATACGCAGCTACTTTGCCTATCTCTGCAACCTGTTCTTGAAGTGATGGAGGACCCGCTTCCTTCCACCTTCTAAGGATGAATTGCCTACCAATTATTAAACTGGTTTAATCCTAATCTTTAAAAACTTGTCCCAAAGTAGGGGTGCGGGAAAAGCTCGATTCTTAGATGCATCGCGATGCGGACGTAAACGATTCTGAATCGATTCATTAATGTCAAAAATCGATTTTCTAAATATTTCATTTATAACGTAATGTTGACGGAATGCAAAAGGCGGAACTGGAAGTGGGTAAGTGCAGCGCCCGGACAGTCTCTGGCGGCACATAACAAAAACACTGCTAGATGAGCGAGAAATCCGACCGGCTCCCTCTGCATTAAAGCCGGGTTAGATCAGGAGTCACAACCCAAATGTTCAGAAGAGCCATTTTGCCTTTCAACAAAGTCAAATCACCTTGGGAGCCACAACATTTAATGTCCAGTATGTCTCAGTATGTGTCAATGTCGTAGTATGGTCTAAAAATATAAACGAGAGCGCAGATTTACTTTGCTCTGCTTTAAGCTTCAGCTATAGCCGCTTTCCTTCCATCTCAGCCAGAAAACTTTTCTTTAAAACTAGAAGAGTTTCTTGTAAAATGTCTCTCATCGTTCGGCTGTTTTACGAGGCTGAAGTCGCTTCTCATTCTCCAGACCTGCTGTCTGCTGTCTGTTCTCAGTCGTTGAGAGCCAGGGCTTTCGCGCTATGCTGCACACTTTGGAGTGTGTCCAGTGTCCAGTCTCGAAAACACCCCCCCCCACACACACACACTCACTCTCTACAACGAGACCAAACCCGAAGTTATAAAATCACTAAAGAAAACGAGAAGGACGGCTGTAACGTGCTGCATGGACACCCATTACCACTGGATCTTATTTCAGGGTAACAGCGCATTTTATCGCAGATGAGTGGCAGCAGCTTCTCTGAATGAGAGCCTTCTAGTTCACTTGCCACATCACTTCCATTTGATTTATTAATAAAAGATATTTTAGATATGTAAGCAAAGTATTTGTAATGATCCATAATTCATTTACATTATGGATCATTACAAATACTTTGCTTTAAAACTACCAAGTCCTCAGACAGTAGGAAGATAGAAATCCTGTATGGAGAAAAAAGATGCATTGAGATGCATCGATGCTCGTTTTATAATCGCATCGCAGCCCTCTGAATCGTAATCGAATCGAATCGTGAGGTGCCTAAAGATTCCCACCCCTATCCCAAAGGATCTCCTAAGACAAAAAATTTTGGGAAAGAGAATTTGACAACGTAATACTTCACAAATAAAATCATTAAGTGTCATCCGGAATTCCTGAACTCTAGGGCAGCGGCACGTAGCATGAATAAAGTCCCCCTCCTCAGACTCACAACGCCAGCACTCAGCTGTATCCTTCAAACCAAGCTTATGCAATCTGGTAGGGGTTCAGTAGACCCGATACAGAAGACGTACACTAAGGCATTATTTTAAAGTTTTGACATATTTGCGCCCGTTTATCCTTTTCCAGTGAATACAGAAATAAAAATTAAACTTGACCGAGAAAATATAATATTTGTCACTATGACCATGTAGTTTTGTCACCTAGCTTATTAAACATGCCTACAGAGCAAAATCACCCTCTTTCTGATTGCACTAACTGAGACTGAACTGATCTGTAATCTCTGTGTTGGACCCTGCGTCTTATTTAAGAGAGAGGAGAGAGCATTGCTTGACTTCAG